AACAAAAAAAAAGTTGTTTTTATTATGAAATCTACGTGGTCATGAGGGTTGAACAAATGGGACAGAATATGGTTTGGCGAATAATCTAGTCTTCAAGTTCATTTCTTTACAATTTCGTCTTTTTTCGTTTGATTTTTGGCATTCTACGACATTGGTATGGTTTTTTTGGTAACTTACGGTATATTTTTGCTCATTTTGCAACTGTTTTGTACGATTTACAGTATGGTTGAAAACTTTTTTTTTTGAAACGGCCGAAAATTCGGATGTCATCCATATAATCAAATCAACTTGGCCTTAACCGCATACCCTAGCCAGATAAGCGACAGAACTGGCATGAGAGGTTACAAAGTGAAGAGACTGAATTAGTCATTTACCACAGATTTTGTGTTAAACTGCTCTTCAATTTCGGTATTTCTATTCCAAAATTGTGTGAATTATAATATCGTGGCGCTGTCTGACCTCGTTCATGCGTTTTCCCTCCCTTCTTGAACTTGTAAGGTCTGGGCCGGTTCTTGAACCTCTCTGACGCAATCCGGCATTCCTCCAGGAGCTCCAGATTCCGTTTCCGGTCCTCTTCCGTCAGCTCCACTTCCTCCAGCGAACCGTGCAGCAGGTCCACCACCCCCTCCTGTCGGATGACAAGAGAACTGCATCTCATAATCCTGTTCACACACTTGGTCTACCAGCTCTCCATAACTAATGCCGTATTCATTTGATTTTATCAGAATTACGACACATCCTCCTACAGTACAGCAAGTGATTCTGAGATAAAATTTAAAATTTTTTTTATCTCAGAATCATTTAGCAAAAACCATCTGGAGAAACGGGGCAGACTTGATGTAGAAATCCACCAAAAAGCATCGTATCTGTTCTATATACTCTTGTCTATGTGGTAAAACATTGAACTTTATTCCAACACACACTGTCGCCTTCATCAGTGGTCGGATAGGACGTTAAATGGAGGTCCCGTGTTTGGGAGAGCCACACCCCACGCACGTTAAAGAACCCACCACACTTATCGAAAAGAGTAGGGGACCTTCCCGGTGTGAGTGGTTCAAACATTACAGTCTGGTCTCAGGTTTGACATCTTTGAAAAGGTGATAGTCACCTGCTATGTCAATCCTTCCACAAATGTGGTAAATCGTCATAAATGAATAAATAAATATGATTACTACCAACACAGATGAGCTTTCATGATCATCTTGTCTATGTAGTTTTACCTCACTGAATGACAGGATGGGCCGGCTCCCTCTACAGAAGGAGATTTTGCGCAGTTCCTGTAGGGAAGCTTTCTTGATGGGGTCTGACCGCCGGTGCACCTTGGGCCGCGTCAGGAACCCGCTAGACCCTCTCCTACGGAAAAACACGAGCATGTGACATTCATCCACGAGTTTCCCATCCCCAGAATGCAATGCGAAAATACGGGGGTAACCCTCATTTGCATAGAGCTGGAAGGCATCGGAATGATCCTGTTGACGTTAAACAGCTTCCTTTTCACTGAGTTTTGAGGTGTCAGGGCATTTTATGCTCAACGTCAATTAAATTACTATGGGTTGAATCTGGCAACAAATAGAGAATGAATTTTTTGGAATATGTGGTTTGTAACGTTATAGTGGTAACGCTATACTGATGCTGAAACGTTACAAACCACATCTTCCATGTTGAAAAGAACACTAAAACTTCATTCTCTATTTGTTGTCAGATTCGGCCCATAGTAATTTAATTAATGTTGAGCATAAAACCAAACCCAACACCTCAAAACACAGTGAAAAGCAACTGTTTAACGTCAACAGGATCATTCCGATGCCTTCCAGTCCTATGCAAATGAGGGTTACCCCCTCGTTTTCGCGTTGCATTCTGGGGATGGGAAACTCGTGAATAGAGAAGTGATTAGTAATTCTGTCAAAGTTAGATGTTTATGATTGCATCGAACTTCTTTTATCAGTGATCAGTCACTGTCAATGATGAAAGATTCTGAGTCACTGATGAAAGACAGTGGGTGTGATCTGAAACGTACCTACCCTGGAATCCAGAACTCGTTTTCCCGGCCGCAAGAGCCCGTCGCCCGCTGGTGTAAATTACCGCTACGGGGGAGTCTAGTCCGGGGGGAGTTTGACTACTAGGGCCGGACAAACCCCTCGGGCTCAACTCCCCCGTAGCGGTAATTTAGATAGGCGGGCGAAGGGCTCTTGGCTGCCGAAGGAAAACGGCTAACGGCCCGATACTAGTTTGGCATCCAGGGTAAATCGTACCTGATATCTCCGCTGAACTCGGCAGATTTGGACCGTAACGCCGGTGAGTCGTCCCTCGGCTGCAGGAGGCTCCCTCTCCGGGGGAGGTCCAGCGGGCCCTCCTCATCCTCCGAACTAGCCGGGCTCTTCTGATGCACATAAGGGGAAACATAGTCAAATACAGGATTTATTTAATGAACGCTGACATTTGTGAGACCCTAATCCAATGTTTTAAAAAAAAGTGAAACATAAACCTTATCACAATTTTCTATAAGATTTCTACCTGCCAGCTGCCCCCGCGCCGCGTGCCTGCGAAGCTGGTGTGTTACGCCGAAATTATACCGGCTATACAGGTACAGATACAGATACCTATTATGTGTCCATTCTTCGACAGCTTCATGGCAATATAGGCTTTTCAAGGGATTGTGGGATTGTGCCTGAAGATACGGTCTCAAAGACATAAACATGATCCACGTATTTTCAACACGTCTAGAAAATTTCAGACGTTGAATTTTGTTGTTTTACCTTCGTACTGGACTGCGATTACATAATCAATGTTGAATGAAGTTAGGGTCTTAACCGGAACTGTGAACTACCTTATTATCGCTTCTGTTTTGGGTGACAACAAAATTATGAGATTATGATTATGAGAAAAATATGATTTTTAATATAATATAATATAATATAATATAATATAATATAATATAATATAATATAATATAATATAATATAATATAATATAATATAATATAATATATGATTTAATATAATATATGATTTAATATAATATAAAAATATGATTTAATATAATATAAAAATATGATTATGAGAAAATGTCCCACCTCAATGGAAGGCTCGTGCACGACGGGTATAAAGTGGTTCTCCTCTGTGTCTGAAGACATCTCCATCGACTCTTCCCGCAGTACAGGCAGGGGACCCCTAAATCAGACAATAACAGTTACTACTCCCCACCCCCGGGAACAACTCACTGTAAATCAGACAATAACAGTTACTACTCCCCACCCCCGGGAACAACTCACTGTAAATCAATGCTTTATTGCAGTAACAGTTACTGCTAATCTCCAAGCAGATGTTTTGGTGGCTGCAATTACAGTATCAAATTGGCAAGACAGTATCAAATTGGCTGAGCAGTATCCAATACGATTGCAAATGATAACCCGCGTGGCCAATTTGATCGTTCCCTTTCCCCGAATGAATTTGGAGATTTGGATATTAAGGTACTACACGAGTAGTCTCAACTTAGAAATATAGTACACAACATCGATGAGATATATATGATGTTTACTTTGTAACCATCAAAGGCACGTAGGTCAAGATCGCAACACAGCAACGCTCTGGAACCTGTAAAGTCATCTACAACATCACACAGAAGAACCTTCCTACCAGCCACAGTACAGCTCTGGAACTCCCTCCCACAGGACATTGTAGCTATTAAGGACAGACATATATTTAAGAGCAGTGTTAACCGCCACCTCAGTAACATTGGACAGCGCCCTTATGACAGATGCTAAGCTGAGTCTGGCATTGCATAGATAAAAAAAAGAAAAGGTTTTCCTAGAAGCAAAATAGAAGTGTCCAAACTTACGTGTCTTCTTCACACCCATCCTCAGCCTCCTCCTCCTGTATGGAGAAGCTGTTGGCCATCCTTATCTTACTCATCAGTCCTAGTCGCTCCTGTAGTGATGTCCGGCAACCGAGGCTACCGGGGTTGCCTTCCGCAGGCCTGGAGTCTAGGCTACTTGTTTTGGTGTCCAGAGGCCTGGTGTCTGGGGGACTGAAACCGAGTCTATAGGAATTGGCTTCTGGTAGCTTGGAGATGAGACTACTGGAGTCAGGAGGCCTGAAGCCTAGGCTACCCGTACTAAAGCCTGAAATGCTGGGACCCGCACTACCAGTGCCTGACGGCCTGGGAGCGAGGCTACAAGCATCTGAAGAAGACGTGGTCTCGGTATGGTCATTCTCAGGGTTAGCATTGGGAACATTCTCATCTGGCTGAACGCCTTCACTTGGCCTATAGTAAATATCAAGAACGGGATCGTACAAGTATGACATCTTCCCTTGGCTCTTAGCAGCAGGAGGATCCTGCGTAAGTTCTGAGCCCTTTTCTTGTCGTACTTTAGAGTTTGCTGTATTAGGCGTGGCTACTTGATCTAGACTGCTCTCAGAAGTAGCAACTGAGTTGCTACTGATGTTATAGGAACCATCTTCAGTATAGTCCAGTGTGGCTTCTGTGTTGTGTGTTTGTGAAACTGGTACATCAGAACAATTTTCTGTCACTTGAGTAACAGTAGATACATTAGGAGTCAAAACATGGTCCATTGCTTCTTCTAGTGTGTCCGAAGTCAGTTGCGTTTTAGCAGGCAGTACCTTTGCTTCTATACTGCCATTTACTAACTTGTCTTGATCCACAGAATGGCACTCGAAGACCTTGTCTTCGCAGTTCTTCTCTGAAACTGTGCAAACCTCTGTGTCGGGGGTCTTATCTTGTCCCTTATCTTGTAAGATGTCTTGACCCTGTGAAAGCTCCGGAACGTTTTGTTTGCAGTAAAGCTCCTCCTGGATCTGGTCTTGTTGATTTACGGACAGATCTAAACAAGTTTCCTGCTTCTCATCCTCTTTGCTCATTTGTTTTTCCCGGCATTCACCTTGATTTTGACGTTCCTCGATGTCCTGTTGTGAACGATGACCTTTGCTAAACTGTTGACCTTGGGCGTCTAAATCGTAACAGAACTGTTTTTCAGCCCCTACCTCCGCCACTGCGTTTGCCACGAGAGCTGAAACATATGAATGAACCGTCGAGACGGAATGTCGTGATTGACCGTCTGTTTGTGTGGAGGCGTCACTACAGCCGTAAAACGTCTGCGTACATGCGCAGACAGTGTCAGCTGTTTCCCCGCGCCCTTGGCTATCCCAGGCGTCTGTTTGGGTCCAACTGTCTGTCTGATGACGTAATGAGATGACGTCAGGTGGTCGACTTGGGTGGTCCAAAGATGGCCGACTCAAACCGACAGCCGTTTGTACGCACGCGTCAACGACATTTGCATCATTTGAGACTTGCACGCATGCGTCAAATTGATTTCTCGTTTCATGCCCTTTTTTGAAATCCGTTTGCGTCAGAACTGAAGTTTGATGAGGATGGCAGTTGTCGGTTTGTACGCATGCGTCCGAGAGGTCGGTCAGGGTCAGGGATACCTGGGAGATGTAAAGGCTAGGTGCCGCGGCCTTGCGGTCATTGACCTGGAAACCCTCCCGGCATTTACACTGACCTAGAAAAACAACCATGTCACTTTTACAGACAAAACAAAGGATATGAATTTAACGAAAAAAAAAAGAAATAACATGGAACTATTTTGCTAAATACGGCATTTCACTATGGATTATAATGTATCCGTTCGCCCATTAAAGAACATGTTTTCCCTGTTTGTGACACACCACAGGCTGTATTTATACATAGTGTCATCCCAGTCAAATCAATCTATGGACAGAACGCGAATGTGAATGGGGTGGAGAAAAAACAACTTTCCCTCGCCTTTAAAAGATAAAATCTTCTGCGAGGCTCTATTCTGTTTGTGTATTTTTTTGTCTGACTAAATACGAGTCCTTGGTTACGATTCAAACTCAAAGTATGGAACAGATCTTGAATTCTTGATCTTTCCTTTGATCGGAATTTCCTGGCACAGGACGTAGGAAACCCGACAGTTTATGTCAACATGTGACAAACTTAGCTTGTTATTCCCAGCTGAACTTTACAACGCTTTCTTAGGTCACACCAATTTAATTTCTTGGTTAACGGATTTTTCTAGAAAAATACTGGAGCGGGCGGGCGAAAAAAAATAAAAACAGGCCTAGGCATCCTATTATGGCCCAAATGGTACGATAGGAGCCATGAAGTCAACACACCAGACTGGTTCAAAATGTAAACAATGAATTTTGAACTTTTAATGATACTATTGCATTGAAAGATGGAATAAATGAAACAACTAGGATGAAAAGGACTACTTTCAACTGTTCAGGGCAAATTATGAGCATTTTGCAGTAGATTCTGAATTTTTATTTTTATTTGCAAATCAAAAAAAAAAAATGAAGCGGGCGAAACCGTAAACCAAGAAATTAAATTGGTGTGGCCTTAGAACCATGACTTTTTTTTGGTTCGGTGCTTGCGTGATATGTAATGAAACATCCGACACTATTTTTGAACATTGTTGACGTACACAGAGCGAGTGAGTCATTTAACCTTTCATGTGAATGCTACAAAAACAATTCTCGCTAGAATTACACAAGGCACCTGACGACCAACACATATCAAATTATCACACATAAACAAATGAGAAGAAAGCTACTCTCCTCTTAACATCCGAAAACCCACAAATTATAAAAAAGTGGGATCCTTTGTCTTCCTCTGTCTTCAAAAGAGAAGTCAAACCCAGTAGTTTTTACTGGTAGTTTCTTAGTAGTTATCAGTAGTTCTATATGTACTAATTGTCTGTTTTAATACCATGTTTCTTCTGTTTCTGCAATTAGCCCTCGGGCAAGAATTTGCAATAAACAATGTGTATACCCCCCCCCACAACACACATCGAAAAAGCCTGCATAATATATTATCTTATTTGGAATTAAAACATAAAACATATTAATTAGTCGAGTCTTTCATACTGAAAACGTTTTTGACATTCAAAATTTTCAATCTCTGTTCGAAACAAAATGCAAAGTGTTTCTTTGTGTCTTTCATGCTGAAAACGTTTTTGACATTCAAAATTTTCAATCGCTGTTCGAAACAAAAATGCAAAGAGTTTCTTTGTGTTCCGCATAACAGGCTAGCTGTAAACTTTAACGGTAACAGACACGTTTTTACCTTACTTGTTCCAGATATATACAATGTACTTCACATGTACACACGAAGTCGTGGCACAGCTAACAAGACATAAAGCAGTCCTATATACAACACTTAAGAATGCACCTGTACGACATGCTACAACTATTCAGTTGTCGTACTACAAAGAACCTGATGACCTACCCTGTTTTTGTTATGTCTACAATATATAGTCACTACCAGAACAAAGTATTTACAATTGACAAAGATTTTACTTACCAAAACTTCCCACTCTGTTCTTAGCGATGTCTTCCCTGTAAATAAACCAGAAGAAGGTCACATTCTTATTCCGTTAGCGTCTTTAAGGATCAAGAAGGCGTGTGGCGTCTTGTCACCATCTTATCACATCAGCGTCTTGAAGGAAAGCAAAGGAGGTCAGAGTCTTCGCGAATTCTTATCGTATGAGCTTCTTAAAGTGGCAGCGACAGACGTGTAAGAGCTAAACACGCACCGAACCTTTTCCGTAGCGATGCCCGGGCCCGATAAGGCTGACAGGTCTAGTTTTTATACCGCAGCCTGCCAGGTTTCCAGGCGGCGTTACAAGTGTTGTACCGCCGGGTCTGTACTCCGTACACCGCGGTAACCCCTGCCCCTCTGTCACATCAATTCTGACAGTGTTGGGAGGGTGCAGAAAGGTTGGGATAATCATTTCATCCGTCTTGGCAGGCGAGCTTCCGCGGTATTCAGCGACTTCTTACTCGCGTTCGATACAGTCTTACTGTTCTAGCTTGAAATCACCTAATAATATGGTAGATCTTGTAAATTTTGTCACAAACAAATCGAAAGGAATTTTTTTCCGTTGCCTTCAATATCAATAATCTATCCAGTATGATGGACTAAAATTGCCAATTGTACCTTTAACTTAATTAAAAAATCTTCTAAACGCCGAAGACAGAATAGGTGAAATATGAAGTGAAGACAGAGGAGGTACAATAGTTAGTTCAATGGTAAGAATTTAAAAAAAAAAAGTCAGGAATGACGCGTGGGTACCGTTTTTGTTAGCTCCACGGGACTTAAAAAAAAACCTCCGTGGACGACCATTTATGAGAATTGATGGCAGCTTTTACCCGGTTTGTAGCGCGCTAAGTACACACGCGCCAGCCTTACTTAGGCCGTGTTTATGTGAAGTCACCCAAGGCGCTTTACATGTGGTTTCCCCCGAAGCCGGTTTCAAGTGGCTCCATCTGAACGCTCCAAATCACATTGAAAGCGCCTCGATCCCAAACCACTTCTAGAGGTGGTTTCGAATCGGTTTTCCCGCATCGCGATTTGCGTCTGAACGCAATGTGATTTCAGTGTGACTTCACTTGGTCATGGATTACGGGGTGATATTTCTTTATTTATATGCAATACCAACTTAAATTACGTGGCAGCAACTTAAAGAGCAGTAATGGTCAAATAATGTGTCCGTTCTAGGACGAGCTTCACCGCCTCTGGCGGGACCACGTCGGCATTCGGCCGAGATACGCTGGGAGGGGGGCATCAGAAAGCAGGTCGTTGACCTCTGACACTAATAATACGCTACCTTGCATGTTTTCATCAAACAACAATAAATGTAGCTCAGGCGAATTGTGATCGGACACGGTTTCACAGGAATGTGTGGCACGTGGACCAGATGTGAGGAATGTGAGTTACCCGAATCGCGGTTTGGGTGACTTCACATAAACACGGCCTTACATACACAACCCCGCAGTGCCAAGGGAGGGGAACAGCCGGACAGCTGGAACGGCTCACACGGCCGGCCATTACCGACACGTGTTGATTACATTCCCCCCGCACTGACCCCGCCAACGGAGATGGGCATGAGTTCATTCCAGTGAATTAAAAGGTGGAAACAGTCATAGAACAAGAATTCGGAGATCTCATACCACCATGAAATATGTGGAGTTTATGTAAAAGGGGTTGGGGGGATTTGTCTCTTTGATTAGGGAAATTAGGTCGTAATTACCATAGTCTAGTTTAATTTATGGTTTTCTAAATTCAAATTAATTGTGGTACTTGAATAATACATTCGGTTTGATTCACTTAGACTTAAATTCAATTTGCCTCTAACAACCTATTATTTTAGCAAATTAACTGAAAGCGATATTTATTATATTATAATATATTTATTATATATATTTCTTATAAGTTGATTCTTAATGTTACTCACATCATGACTTCTGCCCTCTGCCTCGCTTGCATCTCCAGATTTAGCGCATGCGCCATGGCACGTGCCTCTTCCAACGTCTCTGACAAGCGGACATGGGATACCTGAAGCTAGAAACAAACACAAGATGTTCTATATATTTTTGACAATAGACGGAAAAAATATATTCTGCAATATTTTTGCTGTAAATTGTTGAAAAATTGCACAAACCACATGAACTTAAATTCACTGATCAAAATGTTTCTTTGTAAGTTTTCATCGTTAACTTTGACAACATCGGTCATCATCTCCCCCCCCCCCCCCGTCGCAAAACATACTGGTATGTAGTTAAGGTAGCAGAACACAGTTTTTCGCCTAAGGGGATTTCTATAGTTAAGGACCCGGAAGTGACTGACATCGACGCGGATAAAAATACAGTAGGGTACCATAGAAAAGCACTAGAAACGAATATGTTCAAATATAGGGTACGATGTACAAAATAACAAAAAAGTACAAAAAGTTATCGTTTTTTTAACATTATGCCGCCCTCTTTTAAATGACCTCCTGCGGAGCGCACCGGAACTGCAGCCGACTAACCCTGGCAGGCAGCGAAAAGGTCACGCGCATTTATACGCCGACCGAGCAACCTTCCTAATCTCAATTATGCGATATCAAAGCCGACATATTATGGTACCATACGGTAACTTGTATGTTCCGGTGTCATCCACGTTAGGCTGTGTACAAGCGGTTGCAAGCTGTTTGTCGCACTCATTTCTTATCCCTACGTCATCGTCAAATTAGAGAAAATGACGTAACGTTACCCTCTATCGTTCTAATATACGTAATGCGACCGTACGAGTAGGAGAGTCTTCCGTAGAAGGTAGAACGATAGAATTTTCTCTAATTCCAGCAAAAATGCAATTATGGCATGCGCTTTATACTAGAGGATTAATTCAAAACAATAGTTGACCAGTTTGTCGATAGAATTTGTTGGAAATATTACATCGAGGAAGGGGGAGGGGGTGTTCTTACGTCATATCCGTGACCGTTACTAGGCATTATGGGAAGTGTGAAATTGGTGAATGTTGTAACGTTAGTAGTATGTAGTTAAGCCTCATCACGTTGTAGTTGTATATGTGTATAACGACTCCAAGAAGATTAGTATGTATGGAAACTCAGTCTGTACAAACTAACGGAGATCGGTTTAATAAACAAACAAATAAAGAAACAAATTGATGCCCTTACATCATACTGTAGCTTAGTCACCATTCTTTCCAGATCATCAACGTTCAGTTCCTGTGATTGAGAAAAAAGGGGAAAAAATTGATCACGATTTTAGGCACTGGATACTTTACACACGCATGGCAGCTTGACTGTTAATAACAACACGCAATGAAGTCAATAACCCACTAACTAACAAGAATTCGGAGATCTCATACCTCCATGAAATATGTAAAGTTTATGTTAAAGCTATCTGTCAACAAAAGTCCAAGACCATAGCACGTTCAGGACAAAAAATACAAAGACCTGAAGTTCTGCTGCAGTACCAAGGTCATCCACCAGGAGGCCCATACTTGACCTTGATTTTTGTCTTCCTAAGACTTACCAACATACCAAATATCATCATAATCTATAAAGGCGTTAAGAAGTTATGCTGACTACAAATGTGCGGAAACACAAACACACACACAGACAGACACAGACACACACACACACACACACACACACACAGACACGCCAAAAACAATGCCTCCATTTTTCATGGAGGTAACTATAGCTAGCTTACGGTCTTAATCACTGGTTTAATACTGACTGACTGACTCGATCAATTCACATGTTTTCCAATCTGTCCGGCTTACCAGGAAATTTTTCCGCCTCTCTAGGTCTCCACATCTTGACTTGGTCTCGTCCAGCTCAGCCTGCAGTCTCATCAGTTTCCGCCAGAGGACAATCTTCCCTGGAAACTCATCTGCATGTAACCTGCGTTGACAAAAGTTTCATGTGGTGGTAAAACACCGCCATCCAAACATACTAAGAGATATTTTTATGCCTTTATACGTGTTTTTAACATAAATTTTATACATGTATCAATATGGCTTACTTCAACTTGTGTCATGGCTCCATGACTGCAAGAAATTAAGATGAAAATTTCTTTCAAAACTTTTTTTTCAAAACTTCTTTCCTTCATTCAGAAAAAAAAGAACCTACGTCGCCATTTTCTCTTTCCTGCGATCTCGTTCCCGGGTCACTTCGGCTAGTTCCAGGCGGAGTTGCAGCTCGACGTTCTGATTGGCCAGGCGGCTGCAGCTGTGCCACACGTCATTCACGTGACACATCAAATCATCCGCACTTCTGTTCTCAGAAAACAAGCAGACAGTTTCATCCACCAGTTTCCCATCCCCAGAATGCAACGCGAAAACGCGGGGGTAACCCTCATTTGCATAGGGCTGGAAGGCATCGGAATGATCCTGTTGACGTTAAACAGCTTGCTTTTCACTGTGTTTTGAGGTGTTGGGGCATTTTATGCTCAACATTAATTAAATTACTATGGGTTAAATCAGAAAACAAATAGATAATGAATTTTTTTGAATATGTGGTTTGTAACGTTATAGTGGTAACGCTATACTGATGCTGTAACGTTACAAACCACATGTTCCATGTTGAAAAGAACACTAAAACTTCATTCTCTATTTGTTGTCAGATTCGGCCCATAGTAATTTAATTAATGTTGAGCATAAAATGCCCCAACACAGTGAAAAGCAAGCTGTTTAACGTCAACAGGATCATTCCGATGCCTTCCAGCCCTATGCAAATGAGGGTTACCCCCGCGTTTTCGCGTTGCATTCTGGGGATGGGAAACTAATGAATGAAAAAAAAATGACAATACAGCAGTGTATCTCTAAAATCTATTCACCCCGATGAAACAACGGTTGCAGTACGCTTTATATTACTACTGGCCTCCCTTTTTGTACAAAAAATATTTTTACATTTTTAAATCTTGCTGCAGTAAACAAAAAAAAAACGGATGATGCCATGACAGTCATTTAACCTACGACCTTGCAAGTGTGTGTGCTTCCAAATATATGACGTCAGCAATACGCCATTTATTCGCCAGGCGGTGCTACCGTGTCTCCCCTTAATCTACGAGGTACAAAATACTAGTACAGCATCACGATTACTTGAAATACTTCATGTACATGAATGATAAATTCTATTATTTCAAAGTGCAGGAAAGATCACGACATTGGCTATATCCCCACACTTACGCAGCTTATCAGTACTAGCTCTACCTCTGGCCAAAATGTGTTTTTTCTTTTTTTTTTTTTTGCTCATCACCTTCTAGCGTGGGTACATATATCTGTACCCTCCTAGTATATTTTCCCCTCACTCCGATCGACGTTCATGCCCGTAGCCAGGATTTTGAAGGGGGGGGGGGGTTCTTCCCACTGCTTGAGGGGACCTCGAGAGGTTCCTAGGGGGGTCTGGGGGCATGCCCCCCGGAAAATTTTGAAAAATGAACCTTCTAAAATGGCATTTCGTGCATTTTTGAGAGGATTTCCAAGAAAAAATCAGAGATAACTTTTTATTCAATGACAAAGGGAGCAGTTTTTCTACGATTCCAGTCCAATCTTGAAATCTTGAATCTTTACATAAAAAGTGGACCTTTACATAAAAAGTGGACCTAAAAGTGGACCTTTGAGCCTTGTGGGGGGTTTCTTCCTAACCCCGAACCCCCCCCCCCCGCCTACGGGCATGCTATCTGGACGAAAAAAAACACGTGTACCGATCACAGCCGACATATGGGTCGACCCATAAGCAAGGGTAAAGGGGGAGCGAGCGAAAAAAAAACTTCATGCAAGCGTTCCTTCCTACAACTCCTTTGATATCATACGTTGCAGCCTAGTTGCTACAGATAATGAGAGTTTTTTTGCAAATTCTTGCCCGGAGGCTAATTGCAAGTTACAAACATAAAAGAACAATGAAACAGAGTATAAAATAACTAAAATCTACCGGGTAGTTGTCTAAAGCTATAGCTATGTCTAAAACTATGTCTAAGGGGTTTGACTTCTCTTTTTTAGACCATGGAAGACGTAATGTCCAATGATAATATACAAAAATTACATTTTCGAAACACCGCACCCAACTTTTTATATTATCTTAATGTATTCACTATACATAAATATATTCACTATACATAAATGTATTAACTATACATAAAACGATATTATACTGTTTTTTTCATGCCAGAAACATGGGAACTTCATTTTCTCATTAAAAAAAACATACCTGGTACATGATTAAACGTTGCGCCATTCCATTCCCTCCAGATAAGAGAAAGTCTAGAGGTACTAGTTCAACAAATACCGAGCTGAATAGAACACCCAATAAACACAGAAAAACTGCGATGCTGCCGTACTTAGGCCACAGCAAGTAAATTTTATGGATGACATCCTCCGCAAACTCCAAATCTAATGCGAGCGGGCGAAAAAAAAACAAGGCAGGGCGGGCCGAAAAAAACAAGGTTCCTACCTTTTCATATTTTGACTCAATCATTGTACAAATGGTTTTGATTCAATGGGAACAAACATCACATATACACAGCCAGCATCACATGTCACTGCATTAAAGTAAGTAACAAGACATTGAATCAGAGCCTTTTCTTGTCTCCTCTCTTCATAGTTATTTGCCATCCACCTTCCGGCATGGCAGCAGACATCTTTGCCTATTTTCGGCATGTTGACCGTCAGAAGGCAACAAAATTTCTTCTTCTTCTTTTTTTTTCTAAAAATCAGGCGAAAATTAATGCGCGCGCTGATGTCATCCATAAAAATTATTTGCTGTGGCCTTAGATAATAGTAACGACGCGAAGTTCGGAAGAATCGATTCTCTTTTGTTGAGAACAACAGTGAAACGTGCAACAGATGTTTCCTGTAGATAACGACCTCTCCAGGGATCAATACATGTTAGGAGACGTACTTTCAAGAGACTATCGTTAACGTAAGTCAAATTGATAGTTTGGAAGGGGAATCTTATATGCCTAAATGTAGAAAAAGTAGAAAACATTTCAGTTCATCTTTAGAAGTTTTAACAATGCTCTATATGACTGGCGAGGTGGTTTACCAAAAAGTATTCTGTACATCAATCTGTGTATACGTAGTACATACTCTGTGAACTCTGTAAAAATAATTGTATAGAAGATGAAACACATTTTGTCCTGGAATTCCCATTGTACAGAGATCTACGCATCTCTCTCTTTAACACTATTAAAATGGGCCAGAGAGTTACAAAGTTAACAAACGACGAACTGTTCACATACATAATGTCATCGTCTAAACACCTGGTGATTGAGAAACTCTGTGAATTCGTGTACGCATGTCTCAAGAGGAGAGAAGAAACTAGTAAGCTATTGTAAGCTTTAGAGTTAGATGAATTATAGTATACAGTAGCTGTTTGTTTTGTTTTTCTTCTTGTACAATTCCCTATGTACTAGTAACTAGTATCATCCAATATGTTATGTCATCCAGTGCATTTAGCCCTGAATGGCATGAATATGCAATAAACATCATTGTCATTGTCATTTATAAAAATGGAGAAGAACCCAGTTTACATTTGCCTGTGAAGTCGGCCATTTTAGTATTGCTCACCTGATGTGCCGAGGAACCTCGTCCCCAGGTATATCCGTGTCCGTGACCCCTGGTGACCCCATGGGGAGGTCTCGTTCCCACACCACACAAGAGAACGTATCCCTAATATTGCTGCTCTCCAGTCCGCTCTCAACATGCGGTATTCAGCGAGTTTAGCATGACATTTCTAAGAAACAAAATTAAGGATACATTGAAAGTTCATCTGTGTTTAGTAGTAGCCACTAGGAAACAAGTTTGTACTGCAATTTCCAATTTCTTGTGTCGGACATTGCAGTTCAAACTTGTTTCAGAAAATTAAGGATGTATGATAACGTTAAATGGAATTATTGTGTATAGAACTTTATTGCACGACAATTGTACAGGGTACATTGTATGGCAAATAAATAACAATAAGTAGCATAGTAAAATAGATAGGTATAGAATAAAACTTAACAACTTATATATAGAAAAGATATAATAAAAGTTACCTTAGGCTTTACAATCAGGCGGAGTTATCTATGGGTACATGTGACAGCAAATCAGTATTCTTTCTAATAACAAAACAGTCTTTATGTATCTACCTATTTTTCATTGTGTGGGCTGTTGAATTTGAATGTATAATCAAATCTATCTGTAGCAACAAGTCTATTGAAATCTGTCGTATTTGAAGTGAGAAATTTGAATAGCTTATAATATCACGTAGGACATCATATCTGTAGGCTGTGATATGATGTTACTTGTACAAGAAACCATTCGTCCACGAAAAAAATGAAAGAAAAAAGGAACAAAGAAAAATATGAATGGATCAATACTAATGAATACATAAAACAATGAATGAATGCTTTGATACAAGTAAAGAACACTTTAATCTATAGGATTTTTTTTCTGTACAAAAATCTTTTTGTTTTGTTCGTTTTATCTGGCTGCAACGTTGAAGATAATATAGTAAGATCTTTGATGCAGATGGAAATGGATATGCTTAAAATGCGACTCACTAAAATCAGAATCTTCAGCTCAGGACATTGACCTTCATGACGTCACATAGAGGTCAAGGCGACCTGGATATCACTCTGACGTCATGGAAAGGCTAGTAAAACATTTTTGTCTGTTTTTCATATCGTTTGTTTTACTGACACGAAAGTGAACAACGATTAGATACTGCTGAAAGAAACAACTTGTCAGTTTATCGTCTTATTTCTATGTCTTTGATAGACAAACTACTAGAAAATATGAAGACTGTAACTTACCTTTCCGACAACACATCGTTACTCCAGACTCTCTGAAACACTCCTGAATTCTCAAAAATTCAGCTCAGTGATTTTTCGTTTCTACACCCGTCTTCTCACGTATTTTCCTATTCTAATGATGCTGCCTGCGGCTAGAATATCGCCAGATGTTCGTACGTGTCCTTTTCCTCGGAACGACGCTTTTTTGAGCAACCCAAATACACTCCGCTCCGGGCCCCCACACAATGCTCCCAGCCGGCTGTTTGGACAAGAGAACTGAGCTAAAGGCCGCAGCCTTTCACAACAAAGGCCCCATAACCTTTCACGATAATAGAGCGTTCACTTGTGTACTCTGGTCGCGATTCAGGAAGCGGCGTTTTTTTTTTTTTGGATCCGGGATCAAAACGTAGTAAGGCCACACCGCCTTAATTTTATGGATGACATACACGCGCGCATTGATTTTTTGCCTGTTCTAAAAACCTGGCCTGGCTCTAGGCCTGGCTCTAGGCCTGGCTCTAGGCCTGGCTCTAGGCCTGGCTCTAGGCCTGGCTCTAGGCCTGGCTCTAGGCCTGGGTAGTCCATGGTAGTTAGTTAGTCCACGGTAGTTAGCGGTGACTGTAGTAACTCTGGAGGATCAAGAACTCAGAACATACGTACAGTAAATTCTGCAAAAGGCTAGCATGTGCCGGCTTGTCGTAAACGGCGCTATGTATTATACCGCAAATTCACAATACCAGCTTTGTATTGTTTAGTACATGTAGCATTTGTATTTTTGGCCGGAATTTTTTTCTTCGCCCGCGCGCCCTAGTTTGGGGGTTTTCAGAGGATGTCATCCATAAAATTAAATCGGTGTGGCCCAAGTCAACAGGAACCGATTACAGCAACGGACTTTTAATTTTTCACTGTGAAAATATTACTAATATTGTCATCTTTTTTAATATAACGTATAATTCAGTGTGGACTGAAATGTATGATGGAGATCCTAGAAAAAATTCAGATTATATTTCTGGGGAATCGAAGAAGTCATTGGGTGTGAATGTCGGCAATTAATACCCTTTTTCATGTTATAAAACAACTTATATGTATTGTTATTTCCAGATAAGGCCACACCAAGTAAATTTTATGGATGACGTCCGCGCGCGCATTGATTTTGGCCTGTTTCTAGAAAAAAAACAAGAAATTCTGCTTCCTGTAACTATGACCAAAGAGTCACGACAGTGCCGCAAATCGTTAGATTGATGTGAAACCCGTAACGCGAAATGGGTAAAGAGCACATGCTTTGTTTCTGCAGGCCTGCAAAAATGAGATGAAAGAAACGGGGACAGGACGACAACTGCTGTCCCACCTGATTTATTGCTGTTTTGATGATGAATAAAAGACTTCTTGCTTGTTACACTGTGTCACCTCATTCAATTTGTGTCCTAACATTTGTCGTCTCTTAGTATATTTCTAATCTAGGCAACTTGTTTTTAGGGCCCTTCTTGTTTTTTTTCGCCCTCTCGCATTAGATTTAGGGTCTCCAAAGGACGTCATCCATAAAATTTACTTGGTGTGGTTATATGGAAAACTTTACCCACGTAAGAGAGACCCCCCCCCCATCTCCCGGCTTATTGTTTTGTGAAATGTCAGCCTTTGTTAGAATGGCTCTGTTTCTGGGTTAACCTAAAGCACAAACGAACGACAAAGATCGGGCAATCCGTACGAAAATAAGTCATTATCATAACAAAAACTGACTGAGATGCCACCCATTATAAGAGATTGCCTACTTTTGGTAACGTTAAGTTTAAACATAATCTATGTCTACCAATTAACATTTAACATGTTATGAAATAAAGACTAAACTTTATCTTCCAGCACTTAGATTACAGAATTGGGACTTACCCAAATTTTCGGTTGACTCCATCAACCTTATTCACGGAATGGACCCGTCTACTCTTTGAACGTGACGTCAGAGACACGTGACCGTAGTAGCGGGTCATACCTGCCAGATAACTTGTGTCGCCCCCCGTCTCTGTTCAGGCATTCACATAACATATTCACATTGAATCTCCGGGACATTCAGTATCTCTGGAAGGGGTGAAAATCCTCGATTCTGAATCAGACTTCTTTGCAATAGGAGTAAAGGAGGCGGTCTACATAAGAGCTCACAGACCTACCCTGAACAGAGACGGGGGGCGACACAAGTTATCTGGCACGTATGACCCGCTACTACGGTCACGTGTCTCTGACGTCACGTTCCAAGAGTAGACGGGTCCATTCCGTGAACAAGGTTGATGGAGTCAACCGAAAATTTGGGTAAGTCCCATTTCTGTAATCTAAGTGCTGGAAGTTAAAGCTTAGTCTTTATTTCATAATGACTTGTACCAACACAGATGAACTTTCATGCTAATTTTGCAATGTTGTTCACGTCAAAGTGTCGAGAAATTTCTTGGTAAGTGAAATTCCTTACCAATTACGCTGCATTTCAGTGAAGGTAAAGTTAATATAGTCTTCACCTCTAAACGAAGGCTACATTGGCTAAAGATCACGTGATTGTACGATCCAGAAAAAACAGGGCATCAATTTCAAGACAAGTGGGGTCGTGTGGCGTAGCGACAGAGTGCGCGACTCGGAACTAAGAGTCCCGGGTTCGAGTCCTGACATGCCACCGATCTTGTGCCCTTGGGAACACTTTACACGACTTTCCTCACTTAGCTCAGGTGTAAATAAGTATTGTCCTGTCATGTATTTGTCCCCTGTGTTGGTGGCGGCATTAATATAAGTTGAAAAAACTTGAGTGTGTCGTCACCACGTCTGGTGATTACATGTTGGAATTAAAAAAAAATTCAAGACTTCAAAAATACCAGTACCAACTTTGCTTAGTTTTCCAAGTATGTACCATAATGTACTAATGCTTGTCACTAATAGTATCGCTAATGGTAAATGGGGATAGCCTTTTAAAGAGTCTTTTGTCCGTTACATGTAGCATGTGACACTCTCAGTAAAGACCATCGATTGGTTGCTTTGAAAACGTCGTTAATCCGCCAGTGTTGATTTCACAGCTGGCGCGGGGGTGTCTCGTTCCCAGCGTCAATAGCGACATGTTAGGCCACACCGTCTTAATTTTGTGGATGACATCCGCGCGCGCATTGATTTTCGCCTGTTCTAAAAAAAATAAAAAATAAAAAATAAAAGATCACGTCCTCCGAGGCTCTGGCCTGGCTCTAGGCCTGGGTAGTCCATGGTAGTTAGCAACAATACAGAGCCGGTGGTAACTCTGGAGGATGACACCCAGGCTACCGAAGCTCCACGACTCAAGAAGCTGTAGTAGTAGAAACGAGAAACATCTATAAATTCCGCAAAAAGTCAGCATGTCCTATACCCCAATATGTAACTGCCGCAAATTCAGGATACCAGCTTTGTATTCCTGTGGTTTATTAATAGCATTTTTATTTTTGGCCAGAATTTTTTTTATTCGCCCGCGCGCACTAGTTTGGGTGTCTTCAGAAGATGTCATCCATAATATTAAGTCGGTGTAGCCTTATGTCGATCGAAAAGCCAACACGTCAGTAGAACGTACTGCGCCTGCGCGAAACCCTGATTTTTCACGGTTTTCGTTGGATGTTTGGTCAACGTTGCATCAGAACTTTGCCTGTTGCAGACGATATCTTTTCCGTCATAACCTTTTTCTGTATCTGTATCGGTATAGCCGGTATAACCGCCTTTCGGCGTAACACACCAGCTTCGCAGGCACGCGGCGCAGCGGCAGCTAGCTATATCACACCGAACGGCTTGTTACACTCAATCTTTGCACATTTGATTGCAAGAGTTGTTTAAAGTTTTCTAGTGATGATGCCCCAACTGTGCTTGGTGGCAACGAGTTCCAGTCTACGATAGTTCTGGGGAAATACGACTTTTTGAATACCTCAATTCTTGGTTGATAACTCTGATATTTGAAGGCATGGCTGTTTCTTGTTCTTTTCTGGGCTGGTATCAGATACTTTTAGTAACTACAGACGAGATACAAACTCTGATATTTTGGATATTACAAACTACTGAACTCTGGACATTACAACTTGATCATAACAAACTCTGAACTCTGGACATTACAAGACGAGTACAACTCTGAACATTGTAAATCTGAACGTTTTATGTTAGAAACTACTGAACTCTGGACATTATAACTTGATCATAACAACTCTGAACTCTGGACATTATAAGTACAACTCTAACATTGTAAATCTGAACGTTTAAGTAACTATCGCCAAAGTACATGTATTAGCGAGGACAATGTATATTTTATTATTTTTGTAATTTATCTATTGTAATGTAGTAGTTTTAAGGTTTCAGATATGGATCACACAGGCAGTTGCCTTTTTATCCATTAAAAATGTATGTATGTATGTATGAGATGTTTAAATTATATAATTATATCCGCGAATACGACCTTATATGAAACGTTCTGCCGATGTGCTACGTACAATACATTGAGCGTCCAATACAGGTGCTATAACCCCGGTTGTTAACCATCCAATAGGAGAGCATATGCAAAACTGCTACATGGCTACATGGCATAGCCTGATAGGATACCATTTTGGCCGTGTTCATGTGAAGTCAGTGAAGGCGCTTTACATGTGGTTTACCTCGAAGCCGGTTTCAAGTGGCTCCATCTGAACGCTCCAAATCACATTGAAAGCGCCTCGATCCCAAACCACTTGTAGAGGTGGTTTCGAATCGGTTTTCCCGCATCGCGATTTGCGTCTGAACGCAATGTGATTTCAATGTACTAGTAACTTCGCTTGGTCATGGATTACGGGGTGATATTTCTTTATTTATATGCAATACCAACTTTTACGTGGCAGCAACTTAAAGAGCAGTAATGGTCAAATAATGTATCCGTTCTAGGACGAGCTTCACCGCCTCTGGTGGGACCACGTCGGCATTCGGCCGAGATACGCTGGGAGGGGGGCATCAGCAAGCAGGTCGTTGACCTCTGACATTAATAGCACGCTACGTGTTTTCATCAAACAACAATGAATGTAGCTCAAGCGAAATGTGATCGGACACGGTTTCAAAGGAATGTGTGGCACGTGGACCAGATGTGATGAATGTGAGTTACCCGAATCGCGGTTTGGGTGACTTCACTTAAACACGGCCTTTGACCTTCAACTCAACCTTTTTATCAGTCTGTGGTTACACCATCCCCCCGAGAAGGGTCTGAACTAGTTACCTCCATGGAGGTAGGTCCATGGAGGTAGCTCCATGGAGGTAATTAGTTCAGACTTGCGGATGATTTTTTTGTGCCTCCATGGAGGTAGCTCTATATTCGTACAGATCCTCTACTGTATTCAAACAACTACTGGCACACAAGCAAACAGACAGACAAACACAAACACACCTAAAACATAACCTCCATACATAGAGGTAATAAAAAAAGACTCGTCCAGCAATTGAATCGGATATAACATTTTCAATTTATTCATCTGAAACGGTTGGTTGTCTGAAAACCCTTGGGGAGACATATGCATGTTAAAAATGGTGCCAGCTCTGAAATATCATATATAGCCACATTTATTCTTATGTACAGCAAGGTGTATTTAAAGCCTTTTTCAAGAACATATTTGTGAACGTTTGATCAACAAAGGTCCAGGTTTTTTTTTTTTCGCTGAACGCGGGAATAAGTTTCATGCGTGATTGTGTATTGTGATAGCAACATAGGAAGTGACGTATTGATGACGTATTTCCTGTACCAGAAAGTAGGTTATTGTTAGCCTTACATATAAGCAGTGTGTGTGTTTGTGTTTAATACTTTAATACTTATCATATAGTAGCATTTATGATTTTCAATAGATAAAATCTTTAAACATATTGCTTGTAACATACTATGAACGTTATGTTTGAATCAACGTGGCCTAAGATAGCGAAGGATACAATATAAATGACAAAAAAATGCCACTTAAAACTAACAAAGTTGATAATTTAGTAGCACTTCAAAACGAGGAAATACTAGCTCTTACCTTCATGATATTTGTGATTTATTGCACGATCTTAAAAATTAGCTTCATGAATTGATTTTAATAAGTGATCTAGTTTAGCATCTCCGAATATTTGTATGAAGGCAATAGCATCTAAATGAGAAAATTGATGAAATGTCACAAACGTACTTCAAGTTAAGTGAACATTCGAACTGCATTTGGTGTACCAGCTTATAAGCTTAGTCAACGGTCGCTTGATATAAGGTAAATTAATCTGCAAATTATAAGCCAATATAAAATGCTCACACGTCCTCCGGCAAAATGAAGTTGCAGCAATTAATCAAATTAATCAATCAGGCAACCTAAGGTAGCTCTAAAGAGGATTGGAGCAATACTGATGTATTAAAGGCATCCAATGCAATAAAAAAAAATTACGGCTCTCAGTGGCCAATATGAGATGTTGTCACATCGACGCACCAAATCCGTAAGGTGTTTTTGGCACCCTGACAGACAGGTTAGCCTAAGAGGCTCGGTGGGCGTCACTCCATCGTATAGGTGGGGAAGTCGTGTAAAGTGCCTTTCCCAAGTGCACAACGTCGGGAGACGTTGATGGACACAACGTCGGGCCACGGTGAGTATCGAACCCGGAACCTCTCGGTTCCGAGTCCAACGCTCTAACCGTTGCGCCACCGACGCCAATGCAATTTTTAGGGCTTGGAAACCCAATTTTTCAAAGTCAATATTCTAGTCAGTATCTACATACTGAGTTGAAATCACACTATACAAATTTATATTGACCCTCATGGAGCAAAAATACCAAAATTCTGACAGAAAATGGTTAATGGAAGGCCCTTGGCTGATTTTTAGGGTACCATTCATAAAATAAAGAATTCATCTTGGGGCTTGTTTCTGCAGTTTAAAATACCAAAAGTATGAAACACTGATTGAAATGTGCATAATGTGAAGCAATATGTGTCAATATCAGAAAGGCCTTATTCAGAATATTTTTCGTTTTGCTGCTCTGAAATCGCATTGGATGCCTTTAATTGGAGCTAAGGAAACTACAAGTCGTAATATCATACAGTTAACTTTAACTTGTACAAAGTTATTTGTACTACAACCACCTGGCGATGAACCGTTTGCCCCCTTCCTTAGGGCAATACTGACTGGTTTTACCTCGCACCACACTAGTGTATAAATCTAAAATTTGAATTCAAAGAATTCACTGTTTTTTCAGAGTAAAAGAGAAAGAAGTACGCTGTGCTATATTATGGACTATGGCTCAAATCTCTACCAGCCTTTAACACATGTAAGTCCTAAGCCAAAATAATATTTTGTATATAAATTCATAATGTGATATCCATACCATTAATGTACCCCAAAGTATTCACATTTCTTATCATGATTAGTATGTTTTGTAGGTTGTGTGTCAATGTAGCATGGCAGTGCAAATGTGTTTGTGTGTTTTTGTGTGTACGAAATACTATCATGTGCGTGCTGTGAGTGGTACGTTGGATAAAAAGTGTTGTGTGTTTGTTTGTGATTACGTGATTAGCGCACAGTGAGGTGTTGTTGTTTTTCTGTTTGCGTGTTTGTTGTTTGCGTACGTAACGTTAGCGCATTCTGCGTGTGCATTCTACCTCGTGCCAATCTAAGGAAGCAACGATATAATACTGGTCACTTTACTGTTGGATAAAGACAGGAAATTCATAATCATAATTTTTCAAAACATGTACATTGCTATGGAGCGTCTTCACTCATTTTCCAAATCAATGTTCAAGCGGGCATGTGCCGCCATATTGGTGTCCTTGAACTGTATAATGAATGGCCGTAGCTCAATTTGGTGTATTTTTTGGGGTTATTTTTTGTCTGTTTTTGGCGACGTCTTAGGGAGGAGCCGAATGGTACAGTATTGTGTGCAGTTTGCAAGAATTCTAGGAATGGTACAGGCATTTTGTCCACAGGAATGGAATGTCCACAGGCATGTCTCTGACCCACATTTATGCCCACATTCCTGGAAACCCTTGGGAAGACCTCTCTGCCTCAGATGGCCCTACTTTCTGTGACCCCGGGACTCGTTCACTATACACTCAGGGAAGGAGTGCACTGTATTTGTCTAGACTTAACAGGTACCAAGTCTTCCTCAAAATCATGAAATGATGGCGGTGCCATGCAAACAATAACCCTGACAGCAACCACCGTCGCCATGGCAATGTATGTTTTCATTGCCAGTCTTGTTCTGCTATTCTTTTAAGTGAACTGCACATACTTCATGGATGTTATTACAGAGGGTCAAAAAATCTCTAGACATGTCCAAAATGCTTGAACTACAATCCACTGAAATGCAAAATAAATAAAAAAATGCGTCCACCCCCATGTTGGTGTCCAGGAAAATGCTCTGTAGCTATTTACGAGGAGTTAATGAGTTTATAAAAGGAAGTGTGTAGTTGCATGTAAATGTTACTTAAAGCCCCCCAAAAGTCCAAAATTACTTTCTACTTTGTAAGTTATCATGACCAGTGTTATATTGTTTTCACCGCAGTAGAAGCGTCGCAGCACAGTTACATTCATATATTAGCAGCTTGTCGTACAAATTTCACTATTTACAGTAAGAAAACAACACGCACTTTGCACAGACTCGTGAAAGGCACTACAGTTGGCAGGTCAAAGGTCAACTTGGCTGGTCAAAGGTTAAAACTACTCCGATTTCCCGTCATGCTTCTAAATAAACTCCACTTTGGATGCAGAAATGACGATGTCACCATTCCGATGACGTCAGGTCCCGTCATCAACCTATTCCGTGATGTCACAACCTATTTTGATGACGCCATCAACAGCTGTGCAGCACCGTCATATAATGTATTCGGTCGTACACTGACATATAGAAGTAAAAGCTAAGGAAATCCGTTTAAAATTCTGACCTATCTAGTACGTACAGTTGTCTTCCAAGAATATGACTTGAGTTTTTCTAAATCCTTGTTTATAAGAAAATGGTAATGACGTTGACACGTTGAGATCTGGGTTCTTTGTGTCCTCTTGTCCGGAGTGTTCCTGTGTCCCGGAATATCCGTTCCTCTAGACGTGGTGCATCCTACAAACGAATGCCTTTAAGAACTCCCAATCCGAAATATCTTACAGAATCTCAAGTAACACGCGTATGTAGGCGCGGCGACTGTCAACTCAAGAGAAAGTTCAGAAGACGAACTTTTTCTCTTCCTCCTGCGCGGCTTTCTGTTTACCGTTGTGAGCAGTGATCTCTGGCGCTCCCGCACGTTCAAGAAAAGTTCTCGCAAGTGAAGAGTAACTCCACACAAGTGTCCTAAAGCGTTCAGCACCCCAGTCAGAAGTTACTTTGTCGCGCTCGGCTTGCTTCCTGAGGTAAATCCTAGGAACGTTTTGAAAAATCTGTCTCCAGTGTTGAACAACAGTCCTGCTGGAAATCCAAACCTCCGCGTGGATCCTATCGGAAAGTGTTGAAAGTCTGTATTGTTTGTCGGCCAGACACACCTTGCAGCAGGTGTGCGGCGTAAAGACGTTCTCTCACTTCCTCAAACGACGTCATGTCGCGGTGCAGACTCAGACGAGCTGGTTTCCTCACCAGAAGGCTCTTCGTCCGCAGCGTCGTCTATTTCCGCGATTGGCGCACACGTGGAGACGATCGCCTGCGTGAGAACAAAGAGAAAACGTCCCATTGAAGTATTATCAAACTCTCCTTCCCCCTTTTTTTTACAAGCGTCTCTCTTTATAACTGGTGGGTCCTGAGAGAGGGGCGGTGTGCCCACATGCAGGGAAACGTGATCGACTCCTCATTTACTGCGATGAGTAAACATGCAAGATTCTGATGACGTCTCTTAGAGGACGTCACAAGAAACGTCTGTGAGAGAGCGTCTGAACATGCAGGACATCTCCCAATTCGTCATAGACGAGTTACCCTGTGGTTTCTCAATGCGTCACAAACGAGTTACCATGTCGTTTTCGTTGGCATAGTTCCTGTCGGCGCGAGACATGGCGCCCAGCTCCGTGTCTTCTTCTGTCCTCTCGTCCAAATCTTTCCTCTGCTGTCGCCTTCTCCGCCCGAGAACGGGGGACGCCAGCGTGACAAATGTCCTACTAATCCTGCCCATGCTGGACACCCGCTCGGTCTGTAGCAGCAGCGGGTTGCCGTCCTGCAGGACGGCTGGGTTTCCCTGGGACCAGGTCCGTTCCACCGTCCCGGCCACCTGCCCGTTCATCACGTTCCTCTGCCTCTGTTCCAACACGGGAAACACGGACCTGACGGCAGCTGCAGCCAGCGGCCGGGACAGACACACCTTGGCGGAGTCCGTGTCCTCGGCAGCCGGGCGCTCCTCTAGGCGGTCCAGGTTGTTCATAGAGCGGGATCGCGGCTGAGACAGTGACTCCAGGCTGTACTTCCCGGTCCGCCGCTTCCTCCGAGACGGTCTCTCGTCCTGCAGCAGGTCCAGACCCCCCTCCCCACCGTCAGACTTCAGCAGAGCCAGCATCTCGTACCGGAAACTCGAGATGTCCTGCTTCAACTCGTTGATGTCGTCTTCACACAGACCTGGAGGACAAACATATATTTGTTCACACTTATCCTAATTTTTTTTCACAATACTCTTCCACAATGCTTCTTGTTTCCAAATCACCTTTGAACAAAATTCAAGTTGAGGGACTTTCGGCCAGTACATGAAATTTACCAACGTGTAGCAATAATTGATCATTACTATGTAAATGTTTCTACCAATACCAATCGATATTGATACGGTGACGTGGTGATTTCATTGTAGTTCGATCAGCTTCGATCTTTTTTATTAATCATTTATTTCAAATTTTACATACAAATACTTGATGTGTTATGGCTTACCCCTTTTACATCAAGTGTTCTAAAAGTTGGCGCATATTTTCTAATCTAAAACTTTCGTTTCGTACAATGTATCTAAAGATGTAATATTTAACTGTCAACGTGGCTTTGTTTAAGAAAATATCTGACGTGTGTCCATAAAGGATATTTTTTTCCTAAATTATCCTAGATTATCCTAAACTGATGTTGATTAGAACAATCGTAATGTAGGGGGTTAAGTTAAACTGTTTCACTATTAACAGCCCTTACGTCACCCAGAAAAAAAGTGTGGAAATATAAAGTTGCAGTACCTTCTGAGCTTTCCCGGTCCCTGATCTCGTTCGCAATGTATCTCCGCACCAGGTTCTGAATGACGTCCTGTGGGAGGTGATACAATACAAGCAATGTAAACTAGTGATTTACCAACCTGATAAAATGTACGGAGTATTGGGAACTGATGGAAGCACTTAGACCGCATGCATGTGACATGCGGGCACCAAAGGTATTTCGTTAGCTCAAGCGTCTAGTCTTGTTTAGAAATCATACTTTAGAAGAACACAGAACCCACCTTGTATGCCATGTCCTTTCTGAGCTTGATGGCTGTCATTTTCTGCAGTGAAATATGTGAAAAATATATTACTAATTGGAATAATTTTAGTACCATTTTATTGAAATTCAACCGTCAATGAGCTCCAGGACCGGGTGATAGATGTTGGAAAATTGTACGTAGTTTTATTACTATTCACAAACGAGCTTTTCAGATACATAACTCGTCCACGCTAAAAATGCTTACCACAATAGCTGTTTCGTTATTCAAAGCTGCTTCGTTAGTAGTCTACATTTGTCCAAAAATACATTAGCTGAATACGGAGACTGAGGACGCCACAGACTATAGGCTACATTTGATCCACCCATGGCTATTAAAGCTTATGAAAGCCAGGGGGATGATTGTCAGATAATTTCTTACCCCTATGGACCTCATCCTGTTGAGCTGTTTCTTCCTGAAGTTGCAGATCTCGGAGCAGCTGTTCTTGACCCACATGATGGTGTACCAGAAGAACTTGGGACTGGGGACGATGTTGAAGGGAGGGGGCAGAGTTCCACCCTCCTCAAAGTAACTCAGCCACAGTTTGGTCCGCGCGAACTTCCATTCCGTATCAGCGTGGTCCTGTGGACATAATTGTTTTTAATATCTTTATTCAGAAAATCACATAAACAATACATTTTAACACTACAAATTTAAAACGCGAATTTACAGCAATGCCTGGTTATATACAACGACTATACAGCAATATGTGGTCATAAGACATACAGGAGATATTACATAACTTAAACTACATAATTACAGAACAGATGTGGGCGAGTCAAAAGGAAATGTCGATAGTCTGTGTTTTACGGCATGGAACGTGGGGTTGATATTGCTAATGACTAATTGCTAAAGGTAATATTTTGCTTGCAAGATACAACTGTTCAATGTTTTATTTGTTTTGGAGGGGGGAAAAGTGACCATAAATAATTTCATTGTCGGAGAGAGCCGCGGGAAGCGTATGATCTGTTTTCCACCAGTCCATAAACTCTTTCCAGAAATATCTGGACATATGTATGGTTGTTGTCAGGCATTGCTATTTGTTTGAGTACCGGCGTAAATAGTATGTTTGCTTTTAACCTTGCGTTATTTCGAACAGATTTTGAAAATTGTGAAGAAATTACCAGACACAATCTTGCCACTGTGTATTTGAGGATCCCTAGCACATCAAAATTACTTTGAGTAATTCTTTTTTATTTTCAAGTTTTCGTCTTTAATGAGTAGTAAGTTGTTTCTATGGTCCAAAATAAAAGCATTTTCAAATTGTTTGATTAGCTCACTGACAGTGAAACGATAGATGACTTATCCGGACGTAATGCGAGAATTTAAAGAAACGGAGCGAATGGAGACTGCGGATACGGAGTTTCTATGAGGAAAGTTTGGAACATTCGTCCATGTTCGTCCCTAGAAGTACTCATCTGAATACCAAAATTTAAGGTCAACAGCCTTAGTTGCAGAGGAAGGAAAATATCTTTACATATCAGGAGAACTGCATGTTAACGAAGGGGCAAGTGGGGTTATCATAATGCAATCGCGATGTACTATCTCAACATCTACAAGCTATAGGAGATTACCGATAACTATAAATGATGACTGAACACCGATAACCATCTGATAACGGAACAATATCACTGCGAGAACTGAATGATTAAGAAACAGTGCAATGCTGCATATTGTAAGATTACAAAAAAAAACTAAACTCATAATTCTGGACTGAGATTTAGCCATGTTGATATATTACTGTTTAAAGACCGTTTTATTCATTTTGTAATTCTGGTATTTTAATATGATTCTGATATTTTGATTTCTAAATGATGACGGCCATGTTTTTAACCCTTAGTATCACAATAATGTGTGAAAGTCAGAGCAATTCAGGACCCAATTGCCAGGGACATGCTATTCTGTACATTAAGTGCTGAATACACCATTATCATTATTATTATTATTAAGTCAAAGAACCACCATCACCAAACATACGAATCTGCTGTCATAAACTCAGCATCGAAACAGGAAGGCACAACCGCACACCTCTGGAGCAAAGGATTTGCCAATGTTGTAGCTCAAACAAAGTAGAAGATGAAGCCCACTTTGTTATTGATTGTAGTTTATATAGTAATGAAAGAAATATCTTTTTAGATATATTACAAGTACGTTTCCATACTTCCAATACTTTTCTAATATTAAAAAAATATCTTTCTTATGCGCTTTGATCATCCTGTGTTATACAAACCCATTTCAAATTATATTTTTAACATCACAAAGAAACGTGAAGAAGCCGAACCTCTGTATTAGAGTAGTTTAGAGCTGTTTGTACTGCAAACATGTATATTACCCAGTTCATCTGTTCGCCTGTACTTAGCCCGATAGGGCATGAATGTACAAAAAAGGCTAAATTCTTAATCATTGTCATAACCGTGTCTCACCGCTATGTGTTGATAGGAGTTGTTCATCATAGCAATGAGCATGTTGAGGAGCACGATGAGAGCGATGACGTTGTAGGCCCCGAACATCCACGTTCCCACGAACTCCGTGAAGGCGTGTTTGTAGCCCTGCGCGTTCTCCACTTTGGTCACGTACAGGTTGACCAGCCCGAACAGGGACCAGAACAGAGCTTGAAGGGTTTCCCACAAACTGAATAGGACGGGACGAGAAGATTGTATGAATGTATTAGCATAAACGTTGACCTGTGTTCAACTTGGTAGTTAATATGTAGTACAGAATGACAATGTTTTTTTTTTGTGTGTGTGTGGACAAGAAAGGGTCCATCGACTTGAAGTAACAGGGCAAAGCAGGCGTGACATTCTGCCTAATAGTTGCTTTTAAAGTCATTAGTTACAAGTCACAACTAGAATTGCGGACCGCTCAAAGCGGTCTGAACGAACTGTAAGAACTCTCAATGGAATTGAGTGATCTCGGCTGTTCCATTTGTAATTAATTTTAACAACTGTGCAATAGGACTTTTTTGATGAAATGGCGATAGTGTAATATGATAATATATTTGATGAATATAATGTAATGTTTATGCAGGTTATTGTATGTTACGGTTATTGTCGAGAAGTCCAGGAAGACTAGTGGTGTGTCCTTGCACTAATGGATTATTACAAAAAAAAGTATCACAAAGTATCATCGTTATTCATCAAACCAGTATATGGCCTCGAAATACTCTTGTCCCAGCACTGTACCAAAAAAAAAATTCAATTGTCCCGAAGTGAGGATTAACTGTCCCGACCTGTTTTTTAGGGGGGGGGGGAGGTATTGTATGGCTTCAACTTGATGTCAACTTTATTTTGCTTATGTTCAATCCAAGGCGCACTATAGTTGCATAGAATACAGGAAATTCGGGGGAACTTTTCCGGATCCAAAATTCGGGGCGTGTGCCTGATAAACAAAAGAAGGGCTGACATTCTAATGTTGATTATTTTTCTATTACCCGCAAAATGTCCCTAAATGTCTTTTTAGTCTTCCCAGCCTAAATTTCAGTGATCAGTGGCCATTGGACCGCCTATAATTTCGAGCGCTGAATACCTCGAGAACGCGTTGTTCTGGTCGTGGCAGCGCACGCCGTAGCAGTAGTAGTCGTTCCCGTCCGTCTGCAGGGACCCGTTGTTGTTGTTATACGGGAAGTACAGCTGGTTCAGGCCGTTAGCGAAGGCGAACAGCACCAGGAAGTAGATGAACAGGACCTTGACTATGTCGAACCCCATCCTCCCTAAGGATATCTGCAGCAACGTGAACAGATGAAGGGGATGTAGATGAATAGAATATGGTTGATGTCACTACGTATACTAAAATATGTGCATAACTTCGGCAAAGGCATACATTGAAATGTAACAAGAAAGAATATTCATAGATTTTAACTTGTCCAACACTAGTAATATAGTAATAAAACTACAATAATAATATGGGAGAAATGTGTATCAGAAAGAGAAATGTGTATCAGAAAGCCATCAAATCCCTAACATTTTTTTTTATTCGTTTATCAAAGAAATATACATACAGCGGAAAAACAGTGTGGCTCCCTTAATACGAATATAATAATACACAGAAGACATGTTTGAGGTGTGACATTTTACGAAGAATGTTTGTCTCGAATATCATGAAAATAATGCATTACAGAAATAAGGTTTGTTATTCGATGTACTCTTATAAATGTCATATTTTGCATAAAGTAAACAGGAATTCAAGTGTCTATTTTTTTTGCAGTTTTTCAATTTTACCATACAATATATCGGTTTTCGTTAATGCAATATGTTCAGAAAAAGTGTCGAGCCACCATAAGCGAAAGTCATTCCAAAATTTAGTAACATAACAACAATCCACAAATAAGTGGCTTAGATCTTGTTTACTATCACAAAAAGGTGATATTGAACTGTATTGTACAGTTTGCAAAATTAAAGTGCAAACAGAAACAAAAAGACGTATTTCTTCCAAAACCTGTGGGAACATGTAGCTTGATGTTATAGTAGCAGACACTTCAACTGCTAGATCATCGAAATGCAACACAGGGCAGAGGCAGACTTTGCAAGGTGATACATCTGACATTCATAAGCTACATCCTTGATATAGCTATACCTATATATAACAAACGAGGATGTTTTCGTCCCTCGTAAAAGTTAATGTTATCCCTTGAATACTAATATCAAAAGTATAAACAAAGGGATACCTGCAGCGGTCCCAGATGGGAGTTGGAGGTGAATAGAAAGATGACCCTGAGCGAGCTGAAGATGTTTGCTGTAGCGAAGAGACCTTCCGCCACCAGGGTAGGGTGGTCCGCCTGCCACGTGGAGCGGGGGTGGAGCGCCGTCCCGTTCCGACTGCTCAGTGTCTCGTCCTTAAACTGAGCAGGACATACGTGAAAATGTTCATCGGGTTGATAGTCCAGGGGTGCCAGAGTATACAGTGCAATTTTACGGAATACAGTGCAAGTTTACTAGTATACGGTGCAATTTTACGGAATACAGTGCAATCGTATTAGTATACAGTGCAACTTTACGGAATACAGTGCAATCGTATTAGAATACAGTGCAATTTTACTAGTATACAGTGCAATTTTACGGAATACAGTGCAATTTTACTAATGACGTTAAATCACGTGACTTGGACCCGGCTTTCCCTGCTTTTTGTACAAGATGGCGGACGCCGCTGACATATTTTTGTCTTTTTCGAGCGAATTCGAAGTAGTAGTGTTAGTATGTAGTGATTTGACTATAGGTGTATCTACGAGAACGGTCCAAATTCACTCGAAAAACACAGAAAGACGTGAGTACGCTCCGTCAGCGGCGTCCCTGGAAAGCCGGGCCCAGGTTGCGACATAACAACGTCATTAGTAAAATTGCACTGTATTCCTTAAAATTGCACTGTATACTAATACGATTGCACTGTATTCCGTAAAACTGCACTGTATACTAATACGATTGCACTGTATTCCGTAAAATTCCACTGTATTCCTTAAAATTGCACTGTATACTAATACGATTGCACTGTATTCCGTAAAACTGCACTGTATACTAATACGATTGCACTGTATTCCGTAAAATTGCACTGTATACTCTGGCACGTAGTCAAGATCATAAGATAATGGAGTGCTCATGTTCATGACAAGGTAGAAGGAAAACAGAAAGAAAACACGTTGTTTTTGCTCTGTTTCTTCTTCTTTTCCAAACACATAAGGTCGATGACTTGGACCAGACGTCTGTCACCATGGTAACTGGTGCTGTTGCAGACAACCTGTGATGTTGGGTTACATTATGTTGCAAGTTGCAGGACAGAGTTAGAGGGGCTGGTCACTAGGTCACTATTTGCAGGACTGTACTTGAGTAAGAATTAACAGAACACTAACTTGTTATGCTAGACCATGGCCATGTGAAGGTAAACATTGTGCATTTGCTTTGCAAATGTTACTTTGTTACTTCAACATTTTTGCAATAGAAAGGGCACCGTACAAGCAGTCGTCAGCATCAGCTCGCAGCCACCGAACGGCAGAGACTTTGAAAATTACAAACGGTCCTACAACTCACCTTGATATAAGAGACGACTCTGAGCGCGATGGTGGCCACGTAGAGTGAGTTCATGATAAAGTCCATGACGTTCCACTGGTCACTAATGTACTCCTTCAGTCCCGCCTCCCACAGCTGCTTAATCTCTCCCCAGATCATACCTGCAGCAAACGACAACAGCATTTATTTATTTATTTATTCATCTTAGGGACAAATGGGTAGTCCCTTCAGCCGTTGAGGCTGATTTCCAAGGGAGCCCATACAAGAAAATAATGTAACATAAAATAATAACTAAACGTAACAAAGGAATTCGAAAATCACAAAACAAGATGCAATAATAATAATAATCAGTCATAGTGTGTGAGATTGTGAGAGGTCAAACTCATACAATTAAAATTTAAAATAATACAAACTTAGGAATAGTAGATCATAAATAAAGTACTTATGCGATTAATTTCTTCTTTATTATAATTATTACTTTTCTTTTCTCAAAACATAGACGTTCCTTGCTCAAATACGATTTCATTTGAAAGCAGCATCTACTATCATATAAAATGAATTGGAGCCAACCACACATTCTGCTGCCACACAACTTTGATAAAAAATGTTGTTGTTTGACCTGATTGAGACAGTGGGATGTATATTTTGATAATATAAAGTATAAAAAATACTAATGATATGGTATTATTGCCTTCGACAAGAAGGCTATGAAATCGGTTTGGCACTGTTTTGCAGATTATTTACGATAAATTTTGAAGGCATGGTCCGAGATTCACGACTTTTATCAGGCTGGTTGTCTTAGTGATGGGCATTGTCAAGGCCAAAAATGGGCTTCATGGGGGGTTCTTACGTGACTGGAGCTGACCTTTTGTGTTTGCGTTTTTTGTTGTACTCCAGATAACTTGGGAATCCTTAAATGGTTGTCTATAATTTTTAGTTGGCAAGTTACCATTGAGAATACGAAGGTCAAGTTCGGAAATGGGCTTTATGGCATGGGGGGTTCCCACGTCATTGAATTTGACGTTTGTGTTGGTCGTTATTGTTGTTAGCAGGATCTAGAGGAGATTTCACTTGGGAAAGAGCAGGAAGGCAAGTGCTTGACAAAAGAAAGAAGTGGTGCCCCGCCTCGTTGACAGATGTGAGCGGCGACGCTGACGATGATGATGATGATGATTTAGTCTTTACGTACCGAGAACCCAGACGAAGATCATCCACTCCACGGTGTTGGGTACCGGGCCCTGCAGGTTGGGTCTGTCCACGTCCTCGTCCCCCACCAGGGCGGGGTTGGAGGCCAGGTACAGCAGAGCCAGGAAGAACAGGTACGACGTCGTGTGGCAGATGAACTTCAGGAACGGCTGCAGATGGGGGAGGGATAGATAGCGATGGAGCGTCTGATCAAGTTACGAATTTCATTTTTAAACGAATACTAGCCATATGCACAAACATGGAACTTCCTACCCACTCAACGCAAATGACGCCACATTACGTACTTTACTTCTTACAGGTAGCCCCTCCCTCCCATACACTACTAACTGCCGTATCTTTGATATTGTGTTCAACTATATCTATCACTCTGGAAGATTTGACCAATCTCATTAATGTCTATGCTATAGGTATTGGTGCGCCAGCCACTTTCATTTTATGTTTATGTTATACTTTATGTCATCTTTATGTTTACTTTTGTATTATGTTTTATGAGCAGCGGATTCACATAAGCACAACAAGTGCTTCCTATCCAATGCTCAAAAATCCATGTGAATAAAATAAAAAACATGGAACTTGCTAGATCTGTTGGTGACTTTATATATACATTGATGCACTAATTGAATTTCAGGAAAGTTGATAGTTAAGTAGAGAAGGGCGATGGTTTCAAATGAAAGCCTAGCGCTGTGGTTAGGTCACGTGCCAAGGATGGGTCATTTTTCATGAAGAAGGTCGAAGTATATTTAGGTTGACTTTTGATATAAAATTTAGATGTTAGGTGTAGGCTTTATTTCAATTTGAGAAGGTATGAACATTGTACATGAAAGCTTGTACGGAAGAAACGAGTGGAATGGTAGCATATAAAGATGTTACTTTAATGAAGTGCGATATCGTCAACTGCTTTGATTTTCATGTAAGGCTACACCGACTTAATTTTATGGATGACATCCGCGCGCGCATTGATTTTCGCCTGTTCTCCAGAAAAAAAAAAGGATCACGGTCTCCAAGGCTTTGGCCTGGCTCTAGGCTTGCGTAGTCCATGGTATAGGTGGCGGTAACTTTACAGGATGGCACCCAGGCTACTAACGCGAAGCTCCACGACTCAAGAACTCAGTACATTCCGCAAAAAGCCAACATGTGCCGGCTTGTCGTATACGTCCCTATGTACTGCCTCAAATTCACAATACGATCTTTGTATTCCTGTGGTTTAGTAGCATTTTTATTTTTGGCCGGAATTTTTTTTTATTCGCCCGCGCGCACTAGTTTGGGGGTCTTCAGAGGATGTCATCCATAATATTAAATCAGTGTGGCCTAACAAAACGACTAGACCGTGTGTAAAAAAACCGTGTGTAAAATTTGAGGGCATTTATACTGCAATCTCTTGTCCTCTTACCTCGTACCGAACACGTTCAACCAGCACAAACAAAATCAGACTTCCAAAACCAAAATCAAACTCTCAGAAAAAGCGCTTTATATACAGGATGTCACAGTTGTGGAATAACATAGGCAACTAGCAAAGTGCTGGATTTCAAATAGTGAATTGTCTAAAGTTAGCCATGTACTGTTAATTTTGTAATGTTTTTGTGCGTTTGTAATATATGTATGTAGGATATGAATGTGTAGACCACAGGAAGAATAGCCTCTTATGAGGCTAATTGTGGATCTGAATAAAACTGAAACTGAAATTTACCTTCCGTATAAGCTTGCCCAGGGAGCTCTTGGGTGCGCAGAGGTAGCAGATACCGAGCAGGGGGAAGGCCAGGGCGATGGAGGCGCAGATCAGAACCTTGACGGCCCAGTGCTTCCGCCGCCATGACGGGAACCCCTCGTACCACATGGACGACAGCAGCTGCTGGCAGTTAGGCTGGGATACGAACTGTAGGGGGGGGGGTGCAAAATTAGTAAACTTTAAATGAGAGCGATAACTTAAATTATTGAACTAGACTGATAATTGCAAGAGACTAGTGTTCATCTTGTCCACTTAAGGGCAAATACAGTAATTAATTATAATATAACATATCTTAATATCCGAATCCATGCAACATGTATATAAGCTTACTACAACCATAGAAATCATGATGCTAAGATGTTTGGAACTTAAGACAATACAAACTGCTGCAGTACCAAAGGAAACTGTTAGGGGACCATAATTTTCAATCAAGTATGCAGCAATGCCAAACATCCGTTCATGATTTTCTTTTAAAAACCTAGCCTACCATAAACCCCCAAAATATTAGAGAACTCGCTGATGGACGTAACTAAGAAAGAAAGATAATACAATCTGGTAAGAGATAGTTTCTTCCCAGTCTACGTGAATAGAGATCGCCGCACCAAATCCGTAAGGTGTTTTTGGCACCCAGACAGATTAGCCTAAGAGGCTCGGTGGGCGTCACCCCACCGTATAGGTGGGGAAGTCGTGTAAAGTGCCTTTCCCAAGGGTACAACGTCGGGCCACGATGAGTATCGAACCCGGGACCTCTTGGTTCCGAGTCCAACGCTCTAACCGTTGCGCCACCGACGCCACAAGTGTTAAAAAGATGACTATAACATGACCATGACCATGACCATGACCATGAACAAAGCACTCTCTGACCTCTTTCTGGTGGTATTTGATGGCGAGTTTGAGCCTGGCCAGTGAGTTACTGCTGGTGGCTGACTCCACCATGTCGTCTGAGTGGTTGAGGATGACCTGCAGTTCCCTGGTGCCCCGCGTGTGGCTCAGCAGGTCCGAGGCGAACTTCTTACACTGCTTGGACAGCTGCTCGTACTCCGACTTAAACTCGTTCTCTAAGGTTGACAACCTGTATAAAGAGGTGATATGGGTGAATGAGAAGTTATATTTATGTTTACCGAAGGAAAACATATTGTTTTTACTCAATTTCGTCTTCTCCAAACACTAACCTCTGACCTGGCCAATCACATGATTTGTTGACGTCTGTCACCATGGTGACTGGGGGTTGGGTTACATAATGTTGCAAACTTCATTGTCTGCTCTGCTCCCGTCACCATATACTAGTAGTACATGTATGTGAATGTGTTTGAGTAAGAATTAACAGAGCAGACCGTATCCGAAGGTAAACATCATGCATTTGCTTCGCAAATGTTACTTTTCTAGTTGATTCATTGCAATTGTTACACAGTCAATACAATACAGGTAGAACAAAGGCAGCTGTTGCTGGTGTTGTGTCTCACACATAGAGCAAATTAATACAAACTCATTTAGAGCTGTGCACCCAATCTATTTCTCTAGCTGCACCAGTGCACCCAAATATTTTTGTAGCTTTACATTTTAGATGTTAAATGTATAGTAGTATACAACATATTCTTAACATCTCAAGTGTCAGAAAAAAATAAAATCATTGTTTTAGTACTTTTCTTTAGAAGTTAAACATAATTTGTTTTTGCTGACATTCTATTTACTTTATTTTATATGGTGCACCCAACAAAATTTGTGCAGTCAGTTTTTTTAGGTTGGGTGCACCAGTGCACAGTGAATTTCGAGCTCTACTTTCTGAAGGACACAAGATCGGTGGCATGTTCCAACAAACTCTGTTGATTGGTGATATTATACATCTTGTGCATCAGAAAACCCCAAATGCACCAAAAAGCACCCATGGGAAACAGAAGAAAATTGCATTTGCTGATGATTATTACATAAATCATATCAAATATAATATTTTCGTCTGTTTCCCATGGGTGCTTTTTGGTGCATTTGGGGTTTTCTGATGCACAAGATGTATAATATCACCAATTAACAGAGTTTGTAGAAAAGCACTTTAGTTTGGTGAAGTTTGAGCACCATTTTTGAAGCAAATGTTTGCATAAATGTTTATGACACAATGTAAGAAGTTGTACATAAGTTACAAAAGTCAGATAGCCTCATACACTACTTGAGTCCTTTGATAATTCAAAGAACCAAAAATTACTGGTCAAATTGTTGCCATTGCTGCACTTTTAAAGGAAACATGACAAGACTATATGCCTGGTGCTGACAGTCAGCCATCTGGGACACGTGTTGTGGAATGTGTATTGCAAAGGATGATGGGATAGTATCATCTCCCCCCTGGATTCGAGCACCCTGCCGTTACGCTACACGACCTCACCATGATTGACAAGTACAAGTTGGTAGCAAGAGCTTGAAAAGCGTTTGTTGCTTGTTGAGTTGCATTAAACTTTTTAGTCTGATTTGAACTCACACGTCGGCCACTACATTTATACAATAAACCACCTCACAGTTCAGAGTGCGCTTGAGCAGTCGTGATGCATTGAGCTTAGAGCTTAAAAGCTCTGGGATATGAGGTAGCATTTAGCATAAATCTATAAGCTAATAAACGATTAAAAAACTAGAAAGGCCGACATTTGCTTGGGAGCAAGTACAGCATATTTCAGGCCATTCTTTGGATAGAACATGGAACGGGTACAGCACTTTTGGCCCTTTTTTTGCTGAAAATAGCCATTAAAGTCCCCAAAATGAGTCATTTGGAAGTGGTGAATGCCAAATACGTGACTGCTATTCTGTAGACACACGTTCAAGGTACCCTTATACCGAATGTCATATCATTTGGTTATAATACCAGGGCTCAGGATCCAAAAATCCATTTTTTGTCGAAAAATGCCCCAAAAAAAACCTTCATAAAAATTTTTTAAAGGCACGTTTCAAAAAAAATGAAAAAAACGTCTGGGGGTATTTGCCCACTCTACCTCCATGCCAAATTTCAGGTCATTTGACTGAATGATGGCGGAGTTGAATCCCTCTGACCGATTGGCAGGAGGAGGAGGATAAGGAGAAGGAGGAGGAGAAACATGAGGGAACACAGTATATTTCATCCATACCATGGTATGGACTGAAATATAATTAGAAAATAGCATTTAGCATAAATCTATCAGCTAATAAACGATTAAAAAATCAGAAAATACCATAGAATTTTTATAATCTTAACTGAATTTTGGCCATCTTACCTTATACTACCACTACTATTTGCTAAAACGATAGTTGACATTTACAAAATGTTTATGGAAATGTTTTCCAAACAAACTGATGATGAAAAGAATAGAACGACTATGTTGTTACGGACCCCCTTAGCTCCCAGCTGAGTTGAAACGCCGTCAGGATGGGGTCGTCACTCGAGAGCATGATCAGGCTGGGACTGGCCAGAGCCCGGTACACATTCAACCTCTGCCGCGAGTGTCTCAGGGCGTCCGTACGGTAACCTTCAGCGCACTCCTGCAGAAACAAAAGCTTTCAGGTGTCAAGGAGGTCATGTAATGAAAAACACGTGTAAAAGCAGCGACCTCTACCAGATGTTCAAGTGATTAATGGCTTTCTCAATCCGGAAAATACTAAACCCAACCATATCTAATGCAACCTAACGTGAGGGCAAGGGCAACGCTGAAACACACACACACACACACACACACACACACACACACACATACCAAAACAATACCTCATTTTTTAGAGAAGGTGACAATATGCTGTGAATACTTTTTTGGTTGTCACTTTGGTTATTTTTTTTTAATATTTACTTTACCCAATAATTTTACATCCTGTCTACTGTGGTGGTTTTCTGCAAGTGTTCGTGATGGGGTTATTGCCAATTTTGTAGCTCAAACAAAGTAGAAGACGAAGCCCACTTTGTTATTGATTGTAGTTTATATAGTAATGAAATAAATTATCTTTTTAGATATATTACAAGTACGTTTCCATACCTCCAATACTTGCCTAACATTGAAAAAATTATCTTTCTTATGCGCTTTGATCATCCTGTATTATACAAACCCATTTCAAATTATATTTTTAACATCACAAAGAAAAGAGAAGAAGCCGAACTTCTGTATTAGAGTAGTTTTAGAGCTGTTTGTACTACAAACATGTATATTACCCTTTCATCTGTTGACCTGTACTTAGCCCGATAGGGCATGAATGTACAATAAAGGTTATTATTACCTCCGGGGGAGGAGACATCCTTCCGCGGAAGGGTTTTGTGAGAGATTTAGATTTTTATGTTCGCAGCTATTTCTCGCGTTTTGGTGGACGGATTCTTTCGAGACTCGCTATATGTTTTGCTATTAGGCTGTAGATGATGCACCTTCTTTTGTTTTTATTGTATATGTGTTTTCGGGCGTAAAAATGGCGCATTTTGGTGGCCCAAAACACCCCTTTGAGCGTGAAAGTGGCCGCGACCGTTGACCTTTGGCGTGTTTAAGCTATTCTCGGTCTGGTCCACGTATATGACCCCTTACACAGAGGGGTTCCGGTCTCGATAAATTCTTTGTTTAACACCTATATAGAAATATACAATAAAAAGCCCGGAGGTATAAAATCTCAGATTTTACTTGTTATTGTTAAATGTCATCAAAGTGTGCCTAGCTACTTACGTGGCAGGTGCACCTGACGTCATGAGGTTTGGGGATGGGGTGTCCCTTCTGTAGAAGCAGCTTGAGGATCTCGTAGTTGTTCTTGTGCGCGGCCAGGATGATCGGCGTCATGTCTTCCGTGAAGTCCGACTCTCTCTGGACGTACTTCATCTGAAACAAGAGTGTCATACCATGTATTCACGTTACGTAATACAGTAACAGTCGGTTACAGATGGCGCAATACAGGAAGGACTGCAGCAGTCCTTCCTATATTGCGCCATCAGACTTTACAACAACTCACCTTCAATATAAACTGAACCCGACTTGACTGGATGCAATCAGTATGGACTTTGTGTATATTTTAATTACTTTGTATATGTCTTTGCATATACCTTACTTAATTAGATGTCCACGTATTGTCTCTGTTTTTTTTATTATGTGACAAATGGTACTCAATTCAGGGGGTAGTAGTTATTCTCCCCCTGCTGATGTACATTTGAATTAGTGTAATAAAGAAATTGTATAGGCCAAATGCAAAAAGTTTTTTCAATTTTTTTAATACGTTTTTTTAATAAGTTTAACTTCTTGACTTCAACACTTAATTTGACCAGCCCGTAAAATTGGGGCCAACTGGCTACGGTCTGGTCAACTATAGCGTAGCGTTTTGTCCCCCAAAGAAATCTGCTTGGAGATTACATATTAGCGTCAAGGATCAAGACGACTTGATTGTTGTTTGAGTTTTATTCAGATCCACAATTAGCCTCATAAGAGGCTATTCTTCCTGTGGTCTACACATTCATATTTACATACATGTATTACAAACGTACAAAAACATTACAAAATTAACAGTATATGGCAAACTTTACACAATTCACTATTTACAATCCATTGCTAGTTCCCGCCTATGTTATTCCACAACTGTGACATCCTCTACATAAAGCGCTTTTTCTGATAGTTTGATTTTGGTTTTGGTAGTATGATTTTGTTTGTGCTGGTTGAATGTGTCCGGTACTTGTGAATCTCAGATTGGAATGTGACAAGACCTTTGGTTGTTTGGTTGTAACCTCACGCTCTCATCAAGATCATTTAACCTTGAACGGGGACATCAGGGATGTCAACACAGAAGACAACGGGTTCTTCTTTTTCCACTCGTCCCTGTCCTCCATCAGTGAGCGGAGGTGATGTTTCTGAGCCCAGCATTCCACTCAGGGTGTCTATGAAAGTTATGGCTAATGTTTCTTTTATCCCTCCTCTTAAGCTTCCTTCCCTCTGCTGGCTCCCACAGGATAAGCTGGCTGACCCATGCACTATTACAAGACCAAGGGTCATGAATGATCTCACAAAAAATGGACAGATTGCTTGAATCGCCATGCACAACAATTCTCTTGCCTTTATCATTCTGGCTTGGAATAGCTGGGACTAAAGGGCGAAGGCCTGGACAGGTTGCTAGTAGGTACTTAACACTCAAGTGAATTATGTCACAGTCATGAAACTGTATAGGATTTTGATCCTCTCCCACACGCGGGGCGTACACCTCATTTTGTTTACAATTGCACTTTAACCCTATCTAGACCGGGCTTTTTTGGGCTTGGTGGGACC